TTTTTTGTAGAAGTCCTGCTCAGTCCTGAAACACCGTTTAGCCTTGTCAGCTCCTGACACATGCACTTGTTCTCTTGAGTACCACGATGAATTGTCCCTGCACTTGGAGGGGGTGTCCTTAAACGCCTGTCACCTTTCCTAACTCCTTTTGCCTTCAGAGATGGTTGCCGCAGGATGCCTCCTTTCAGCTTCCTGAATAAGCTAAAATCTGCTTTCCTGGCCTTTCAGTCTGTACTGTGCTTCTTTCCTTCCACACTAAACGCAGGAACATGATCTTTACTACATTATGCCATGACCACCACAACCATGACTACCCTTGATAATCACATCTCCAAATTATTTCTTATGTATGGATTGCAAATCTAGCTCTACATCAACTCTTTGCCATACAGCTCGAACTGCAGCTACATGACTCATGCCTTTTGAGCTAACCTGCCCTCATATACTTCATGGGACAGTTCAGAATACAACAGATTTTTCTCCTCCATTTCCTGACCAAAATTATTGTTCCTCCTTCTCCTCATCACTCTGTTTGCATTATTTTCTCAAAAACGGTACCTTAGTGAAAATATTTATTGTTAGCTAGTATCAGAGGAATGCTTTCTGCCTTAGGTAGAAAAGTGACCGTTATATAGAGAGTGACATATATCTGTAAGAGAGATATATATAGAGTGATATATAGAGAGTGACAGTTACATATAAGGTACCGCAAACAAAGCAGTTGGACACTGCTTTTGCAATTTGTTCACCTTGTGCTGAAAAGGAAAAAGGCTGCCATGACAGAACTACAAACTAGTCACCAGCTGACACCTCATTAAGAATGCTTCTGCAAGTGAATACATAAGAATAGTATGGGCGAGGCAGTGAAAGGACTTGATATACCAACAATTCTTTGTGGAGAAAATTTTCTTCTAAGTATATAATTTAAATCATTTACCAAGGATTTAAATATTATGASGAATTTAAAAAGTGTATTTCATAAGCCAGAAAAAAAAAAATGGTTATTACCAAATACAGCTATTCTCATGCACATCATGGTACCTTTGTGTCATTCAAAACTCTCCTAATATACCTGAAACAAAACAAAAAAAAAACAAAAACCAATCCAAAACAAAATCTCTACCTCCTACATATGGGAAATATTGTAATTGACTCAGTTTTCTCTGTGCTGAATTTTTAGAACATAAGGAAAATAAACTTTTGAAAGGCTAACTAAAACCTAAACTCTTCTTTGTAGGGAAGGAGAAATGAGTGGCCTAGTATCGAGTTCCATTCAAAATAAAAGGTCTTTAGACCTCTGTCTGCATTAGAAAGTTGGCCAAAAATTTCACAGATTAGTTTTTTTTTGTTATGTTCATAGGCTTAACTAAGACCCTTAAGCTGCATTCTGAATATGCCTTTCTTAAATCAGCATAGAAAATATCCACCTGTTGTACACAGTTAATACAATGATCTTTGCTTTGCCTAGCTCAAGAGTCCAGTTCACTAATGGTAATAAACTCAGTTTAAAATTCTATCCATTGCTTATTTCTACTGTGTACCATAACTGTTTCCTATCACTCAAAATATCATTACATATAGAGTACAAGTCGTTTTAAAATACTAGGTACAATGTACTTTCATTATGCACTAATCACAAGTCTAGGTTCTAGCAAGCTTCAAAGCATGTGAGTTTTGACAAGTCACCATTTAAAGACACATATATGTCTTTATGTAAATATTACAGGAAAAAAAAGTATTTAAAGTGTCCTAATCTGTGCTGCCGTATGATCAACCACAAATACTGTTGCACTCATACTTTTCAGTTTAAAAATATGCAACAAAGGTTGATTTGTATATCTAAAAACAATTTTCTTAGTTATTGAAATACCTTTTTGAAAGTACACATTTGGATTGCTGAAAAATGGCAAGAAAAAAAAAATTAGGTATCTATTTTTAACTGAATTAACCAAACTCAAAGCTCATGAAAACACAAACCATGTAAGACCTGGTACCTCCTCTTATACATTCAACCATGCTAAAATCAGTTAGCATGGCCATGAGTTGTAGATTTGATATGCRAGGTGTTTGGAGAATATTCTGCAAGCTATGCTTTAAGGAAAAGGCTCACGATAAAAATGAAGCCTCAACAAACTTCTACCACAAACAGTTTTCGCTAGATTCAAGGCGGGTGTTTCATTCCAGAGCCATAGCAAGACACAATACAAACAACTGGCAAGTCCTTCAACATCGAGGCAATTTTTATTTTTTCCAAAGAGCATTAAGATACAATTTACAAGGCCATACACCATTCTTTTCATAGTAAGGAAGAAATACGCATACGACTTTATGTCATCTTTACCATTCCCTTACTCTGAAAGAATCAAGTAGGCCTGGGTGTCCAGCACAGATCAAAGTGGCTTTAATAAGACCAAGAGCCAGACTTGRGTTTTGGAAAGTTATTTGTAAACATCTGTCATGTTACTTGCTTTTGTATTTTTGCAAGTCTCCTTTTAAGCTTCAGCCCTTCACAGCAGACAAGGCAGTAACAGAACAGCTTTGTATTATTCTCATCTCTGAATGGAGAGATAAATTTACATCGCTTTCTTGAGAAAAAAAAAAAAAAAAAAAAGTGTTCTTATACACCTCTTCCTGGTGGGTATACTACAGAGAAAGCTTGTACAGATCCCACCTGCATCAACAGCCAGCACTGTTTATCATGTTATGTTTTGCTCTGTATCAACGCAAACACTTGCTAGATCATTTCAAAGTGCTATCACTGTTTATAATGATAAAATTCCAAGAGATATATTTTTTGATGATTGTGGCTTGGAGTAATAACAGTACTGTATATTCACCCAGCATTATAAATTATAACACACGAGGTACTTTCAGAATCWATGAAAAACTCCAAGAGATCTCAATCCTAGATGTTGCTTTGGGATTTCTTTTAACTTAGCCCTAATCAGCATTTTTTGAATCTCTAATGTCATATACATTATAGCACTCAGAGGGGAAACCTACACTTTACTGAGAAGTGTAAAGAAGATGAGAGAGCTAAATGCATCCAATCCAAGTGTTTCACCACATGAGAGTATCTAATGGTTTAAATTAAAAGTATTTTATGCTGGTCCAGGGATGGTTTAACTGTTCCATGTGTTCCCAGTTACAATCTCTACTCCTCTTTTTCCACATATAACCTAAAAGCTATTTTTTAAACAGTGCACTCCAAAAACATCACGTTTTAGCCAAATGACAACTTTTTCTTCTTCCTTACGCTCTCCCATAGCTGAAAGCACAATTTTTTTCTTCCATCCTCTTCTAATAGAGAACCCAAGTCCTATTTCTTTCTTGTTCCATCCTGTGCACCAGGACTACATATTTTATTTTTTTTTAAAGGTGCAGATTTTCTGAATTGGCAGGTATATCTACAAAAACAGTACAGATCTAAAATGTCCTTCCAGAAGGAAATGTATTATTTTGCCTACTCCAACCATCAAAAAAAAAAAAAAAAAAAAAAAACCCTATTGAGAGTTTTCCTAAAGTGTTACTACATATGCAAAGACAAAGGGCTTATTTTTATGCAAGTTGATTACTAGTAATAGTCTGGGCACTTGAGAGCACAAAACTACAGCTCTTGGTCACTTGAGACTAAAAGGATATGCAGCTTTTTGTTTGCCAAACAAAGCCTACAGAAACCCAAAAGAACTAGTCTGTCCCCACAAACTGTTAGTTCAACACCATCTTTCATGCTGCACAGCAGAGGAGAAACAGAGTATGAAACTTCTCTCCACTTCAATTTCAGCATTATCATGCTTTCAAACTGAAATCCCTCCCTTTAGTTGGATTTCCAAAAACTCTGGGGGACCGAGAAGGGCATCTGGATGGTGAAAAAAACAGACACAGATTGTGTACAGAACTTCTGTTTGTGTTTCACACACACAGCACAGATATCGGTGTTTGCAAATCATGCAAGAAGCTTAACTTCTTTCGACAGTTAGTCATACTTCTTTTGTTTTTTTCTTACTARCAAGATTTCCAACGCTGCCTCCACAGTTTATCTGAAAAGGGTCATGTGAAACCCAGTATCTGCAAATACTGCAGCAGCTCTGAAAACTAGAGAATGCCATCTACTGGCAAATCCAGTATTAAGAAGGGGGAGGTTCCTCTGCCATTTAACTTCAAGCATTCTGAAGTTATTGGTTCTCAGTTCAAGAGCATACCGAACCTTCCACTTAAGCCCTTCAGGTTGTAGTCTAGTGTTTAGTATATTTACAAGCTAGAGATCGGAAGACACCCTACAAGAGATGAGAAAACTAAACAGTACTACACCATAAATTCTATTCTGTACAAACTTCTGAATTTTAGTGCAACATAAAATGTTTTCCTTCTCTTTCCTAGTTGTTTATTATTTTACGAGAACAAATAAATGATCTATGTCTTATTCAGTTTCAGTTGCAAGAACAAAAAAAAAAAAAAAAAAACAGGTTGTGGCTTGTTCCTAAGCTGAAATAATTGCAGTTACAGATCTTCAAAAAATTGTTTGGAAATTCTGTAGCATGGAAAAGTTGAAACAAGTTTAATTTTTTTTCATTCCTCTTTTCTCTTAGGAGTAATAAAGTATTATTACTGCTGTTACTGATTCACTTTAATACACACGTGTAGCTTTACCCTTGAGTGTTCCCTGGAGGTGCTGCGGGGAATCAGGCGAAGTTTGCAGAACTGCCCTGCTGAGGGCTCGCCAGCATAAAGTACCTTACACCCCTCTAACCCACTCACGCAGACTGACRAGGAAGTTACAGGATTTAGACGGCAGCAGTTTTCCCCATCTGAACTTTATATGCAAGTCAAACACCTCGGAATTGACAGCTTTTGTAAGCAAATCACAGGGGCCTTTTTTTTTTTTTTTTTTTTTTTTTTTTTCTCCTCCTTCCCCCGGTGAAAACGGGCACTGGGAAACAGCAATTCCCTTTGCACTTTTCTCAGGGGGCGGGAGGCGGGCAGTCCCCCCGCAGCTTTACCTGCAGCCGCGAGTTCATGAGCATAAACTCCTGCTGAGCCTTGAGGCTGTCGCTCACGGGTTTCGAGAGGAGGAAGCCCATGTCGCCCTGCGGAGCGGAGCACAGAGCTCGCCTGAGCACGGCCCGAGGCGGCGGCCCGGGGCGGCCGCATGGCGGCTCCCGCCTCCCGCTTCCCGCCCTCCTTCCTTCCTTTCTTCCCCGCGAGAAGGCCCCGCTCCCGGCCGCGCGGCCCTCCCTCACCAGCGGAGGAGGCGCCGGTGGGGGCGCCTGGCGCAGCGCGGGAAGCCACGCGGCAGCGYGCGGCSGTTGGCGGCCGTTGGCGGCSGTTGGCGGCCGTTGGCGGCGGATGGCCGTTAGGCGGCGGCGCCGGGCGGGAGGGATTTAAAGGGCCAGCGCAGCGAGGCCGCCCGAAGGGCTCCCTGGTGCTCTCCGTCGTTAGCCTTCTAGGGTAGCTCTTACAGCTCACATGGATATTTTAAAATGCAGGGAATTTTAGTACATMCTGGTTCTTCGGGGAGATGCGCACAATTTTCCAATTTTCCTTTTTTATTTTTTACTCCTTTTCTTTCTTTCTTTAGCTGCAGAAGCAGTGCTGGGGAGGTCCTAGAACCGAAACGAAATGTGAATGGAGCATGGCGCAATTACAATGTCCGCGTGTTACCTCTAGGTGCAAAGTATGAGTTAGCAAGGAAATGAGTAATTACTGTCAAATGTGGGTGACACCTCGGCTTCTGGCCTTATTCTGCCTCTGCTTGATGTGTGACTGCTTTTTTTATTTTTGTTTTTTCCATCACTCTTCACCACCTCCAACCATAGAAAAGGCTGGATTTTCCATTCCAAATAAATTAAATATTTGCAATGAAGACAGGATCGAGACAAAAAATTAACACCTGGCCATGGTATTTTAAACACTGACAAAAGTATTGGATGGGGCCCCCAGAGCTCTTTGTACTAAGCACTATCATGCTAAGGTTCCTCAGGCAGAACTGAGAATGTGTGGCAGCACTGGCTACCTCTCAGTAGCAGTGTGAGGTTTCGTCTTACAATATTTTTCTTTTTCCCAGACAGAGACTTGTAGTTCAAGTCTGGGAAGTAGTTTTCAAATGTGTATCTGCTAATGTAATGACCTGTCAGTGATTCTTGCTGTTAGTATTTATTCGTTTTCTGAACACAAATGCTTTTGTTAAACCTCTTAGCAAAAATGTTGGAGGAGACATTTTTCCCACAAATAAAGAGTTTTTTCTTCTTGGTACTTTTTTTTTAAAGTGTTTACCCTTTCTAATGGCAAAACTGAAATATATGAAAAGTGAGGAAAAAGGAGAAAATGAGCTGTTTCTATGCTGCAAATTACTTAATGTTTTTCAATYAAGTTCTTCCATGAACTTAAAAGTTCTGTGACATTTTGAAAATGCCTTTGACTTTCAAAAATGATATTCGCTTGTCCATACATGGCTTTTCGGAGGCAATCTTCAAAGATACAAATATAAAAATCCCTGTAGTGGGACGTATTACCTACCATAGACTTGGGACTCTGTCAAACTTGCATAGTTCATTTAACGTATTGAAGAAGTCTATTGATTACAGCCAAATTGCTCATAACTGTAAAYGCTTGCAAGGACAAAGGTTCTGGCACAAGTGATCACTTGAATAAAAATACTTGCTTAAATTTTAAATTTAAGCTTATTATATTAATTATTGTATTAATTATATTAATTGCCAGTCTTTAGAAAAGAATATACTATTGAGAAGTCTGGGGCTTTATCTTCACTGATATTTATAACAGTGAAGCTTTTGGGGCTACTCACAGAATTAAACCTCGCACTGAGAACCAGAAGATACACCTGACCACATTTAAATCTAATTGAATATGATGTAAGTAATAAGTAGATTTTCCTGAAAAGATGTATGGAAGTTTCTTAGATACATGAATTGTAAGTGGTTGTGTAAAACAAGAAAAATAGAGATTAGAATAGTTATGGAGGGGGAGTTAAAATGGGTACATTAGGAAGCCAAAAGAGACCCAACAGAAAAATGTAAGAACATCCTCCCTGTAAGAAGCAGGGAGAGAGAAAAGCTGTAACATCAGGAAAATAACCGGGCAGAAAAAGGAGCTAAAGTCAATGGATGTCGTTGAATACAGAGGGTTGATAATAGCAGTGGATAGAAGAAAACAGCACCCGCATTCACGGGAGCGATGACTTGTGTTGCTTGCAGGAAGGCAGCAAACAAGACTGAATCCATGATGTGTAGCAGGCCCTTGTGTGGCCTTGATGTGCGGGGGAAACGTCCTGTTACATTCCAGTCCTGCACGAGGTGGCACTACCGTACTCGCAGGCAGCGGTTCATTCCTAGCTGCGCAGCCTGGATGCCCTGGGAAAGGTGGAACTGAGGAGCCTTCCGCTGGTTCATCTAATGGAGTGTCATTCGCCTTCAAAGCAGAAGTATCCTCCACCCACCCCAATCTACGCAGCCAAGTCAAGTATTTTGGCCTGTCTAGTTTTTTTCCAAACCCTGAGCAGAAAGATACTCCAGACAGCAGTAGGCGGCCGCCTTGCAAAGGTTGATATCTGTGGAGCTGTAATGTTTCGGGCTGTATGATTTCCTAGAATAAAGTGGGAGCTCTGGCTTAGTGGTTGGAAATGGGGCTGGTTTCTGAAGAAACAAACAGGGATTTCTGGAGCAGCAGAAAGAACGGAGGTTAATTTCATGTTGTGTGGGGCTAATGAGTCGCTGAAGGAGAGAGGAGTTGGTCTGGGAGAGGCAGGTTTAAGATACCAGAGCACCCATCCACAACATGCTGCAGCGAGCAAAACCCTCCCGCTTTTTCCTGCTCCTGGCACAAGCTGAACAGCTTTATTTTACTGATATTGCCAATATTTGTGAAAAAAATCAACTGCAAAACTAAGTTACTTAGGTGTAGGCTTCCATTCAAGGAATCCCAGTTATGGTCTGTTGACTACAAGTCATCATATAGACTCCACAGAACTATATTAAAAAATAAAACATACAGTGTTTTTAGTATCAAATATTGTGTTCTTGGATCACTGGCAATTCTGAAGGTAGGAAATGTTTCCAGGAAGCTGTAGGGATTGCTGCTGTTGCAAAATTCCACCATCAAATCCTAAAGCTGTTTCGCGGTAATGCAGAAGTGGCAGTCATTTGCCAGGTAATAAAGTCTCCTTTATTCTTGTCATCTTCTAAAAAATATTTAAACAATAATTACATATTTGCTCACAGAATACCTGGTCCCAAAATTAAATGTTAGAAATACTGCATTTGGTGCTTAATGGAAAAAAAAAAAAAATCCCCTAGTGTCACTGAGGCTGATTTGTTACCTGACCCAAATTACACATTAGGAGTAGGTGTGAGTAGGAAATGATTGTAACTTGTGCCAATATATGGATGCCTATTGCTAGATAAAAGGCAAATTTTACAAGAGTGTGTAGAGCACATGGATGAATCAGGTTGAAATTTACCTTAATGATTTGGAGGTAAAAGCCAAATCATTGTCCGTTTAAGCTTCATACACCAATTGAAGAAGGAAGCAAATCGTGCTAGAATCTCCCTCAGTGATACTGTCTTGAAAAACTGTGTGTATCTGTATCAGCCTGCCTGATCAATTGACACTTCAATATACATCTAACTGAAAAGGATTACAAAATTAGATTCCAAAATATGTGTTTTCATTTTCCAAAACAGTCAGTGAATGGACAGCGAATGATCGTTTAGTCATTTATAACTTTGAAGCTCCTGGACAAAAAACAGGTAAAGAAAGGAGAGATGCTCTGAAAACATAGTCTTTAYGAGACTGGTCTTCTCATAGCAAATTGGGCTGGGCCTCTTCTTTGACTAGAAACATGCTTGCTGAAAGCATGCATGATTGCAGGATTTCCTAAACCTGTGTTAATTAGCTCAGTAATTTCTTTTGTTCTTTAATCCTGATTTTATTCAGGAAAAAAAAATTGAAATATTTCTTATGTTAAGGACAAAACAATTATTAGAACATCTGAAGATTTTTTAAGTTCTGTTAATATTTTACTTCTGAGAAAAGGAAGTAAATGGTAGAAATGAGGCGTGAAAATGCAAGGTTGTACTTAGAGTGGATATAAACCTGAATACACTACATTTTTGTTTGCAGTAAGGGAAGTTCCAGTGTTACCTAACCTCTTAGTAATTTCATTGTAACAGTGAGTTTAATAAAACAATAACTAGCTAACTAGCTTCCTGCTCATGCTGGGAATATTATCGCAATCTAGCGTTGTTCTTACGGGAATGACATCTCTCAGATCTGCACCTTCAGACTTTAGAAATGCTCTTGTGTCTGGTTTGCAGTTTTATTTTTAATGTACAGTATCTAACTGAGTAGTTAAATTTGCCCTTTGTATGTGTCATATTTGTTATTAAACAATGTAAATTTCATTAAATTACTAGCTGAATTACTCATTCAAGCCCTACACGAGTTGTCACCACCAGCACRCCTCTCTTCTCAACTGCATGGATGAACTTGGACAGATCAAATTCCTGCCCATCAAATGCCTGATTTTTAAATCAAAATYCTGTTTTCAGTGTTAATCTTGATGTTAGCCTCTACAATTAGACATGTTCCTCCCTAGATAACACAGTACAGAGCAGTACAGAGTTTTTCTGTGACTTTGAAAATATTTCCTACRGGAATATCCAGATATATCAGGCTTGCCTGGAGTAATGATTGTCCAGCTTTTCATTTTTCTGTTTGGAGAAAGGTAACGCTGTGCATGCTAACCAGGTGGTATCCAYACCTGTTAAGACTCTTTTCTCCCCTTTGTTGAATTTGAAATATGATTGTCACAAAGCTTTCTTTTTTTTTCATTTAGGAAAATGAAGAACAGAGAAGTGTTTCACATTTCATTCTTTATTTATACTGTCCTTCTCATGCCATCATAATTTGTGAATCTGACAGGAATCTTGACTATACGAACATGCTTAATCCTTCAGAGAGGTTTCCTAAACTTCCATCTCTCTTCTGGAATGGGAACAGAGATTTCCCTGGATTCTAAACTGGAGTTTTGTATCAGAGGAGAGGAGACAGAGAGTCAGCTCACAGCTCACTAGGAAATGTTTTAACGGGAATCCAAACTCCAGCTTTTTATCGTAATTATATTGTGGGAGAGCTGCTCCTGTTTTCCCAGTGTGAGGTTCTGGTGTAGAACTTCTCTGGAATATCTTCTGCTCTGAAGACAGCTTACCATCCATCCAAGATGCAGGTGTGAGTGTAACAAATACAGTAGGAATACCTGACCTAGGAATACCTGACCTGAATCAGCAAGAAGGAAAATCAAGGTGGGAATAGTATCTCTAGAGTGTGCGGGCCATATCCCTGCATACTTCCTGGTCATTTCCACTGAAAAAAAAAGAGTTTTRTCTGCTTGGATTAGTTGAGTGTTGCAGTCCAGATGATTTAGTACCTTTGCATAGCCCAAGCATGTATGACTYTGTGGGTTTCCCTGTGACAGCTGAGGATACGAGTCTGTTGTGAAGTCATGGCATAAGAAGAAATTACGGCTCTTTCCCGGAAAGCTTGGATGATGATGATGATTAACCTTGTTCATTTTCAAGAAGAATCAGCTCTTAGTGATGCTGACACAAATTTTTGAATTATTTAATTCTATTTATTTGATTTATAATAGCTTTCTGAAGACTCAAGTGTTGAAAGGAAATCTCTTTGACAAGTTTTATTGCCTTATTGTGACAAAGGTAGCTATTTTCATTCTATACTAATATCTTAAGGGATAATTGTATCTGCATTTTTTAAAAAGATTCAGTAGTATTTCGCATAGTTTGGCTGTTCAATCCTGACAGGCATTTTTTGGTTATTGGTGTCTGTCTGGATCGTTATTATGAAGCTTTTAGAGGTAGTTCTCCTTTCCTCTGTGGTCGTAGACACTGGCATCACTGTTCCCTGTGGGTATCAGAAAGATTTCTCAAGAAATGGACATGCTGTGAGGCATATCTTCGTAAATAAAAGTTGACTCCACGCTCAGCACTTGTGGTGCCGAAGTTAGCGTTGTCAGGCATTAGTCTAAATCGTCTAAATAATTTCACACATATAACACTGCATATAAATACCAAATATTAGTAATGCACTATAAATATTAGGAATATTGTAATATAATATAGWTAATACAACTTAGCCCTATATTCCCAGGGACCGGATGAAGCCCTGTAGCCCCTGTAATACAGTGTTGTCACTGTTAGCAACAGGTCGTGATCTTTGTACTTAGTACCTTCATTTTCAAGGCCTCTGGATTGAGTCTTGTCAGGCTTGCTCTGCCTGGGCTTTTCTTGACATGCCTCCAGCTTTGTCTTAATCAGCTGTGCACCGCTGCTTTGAAAGGGATCCATCATGCACAGAGGGAATAATTTTGTGCCCTGAGCACACAGCCTTGGTTTTGTTTGAGTTTTCTTTCTTTGTACAATGTGCTGCAAAGGTATGTGGTGCTGAACGTCCCAGAACCACAGAGGGGCTGAGGGTGGAAGGGACCTCTAGGGATCACCCAGTCCAATATATTGGAACATATTCAGCCCCTCGAAAGACAGACTGACGTCCTGTAGACTAATGCCCTTGGGAAGGAGGGTTGTGCTCCGAATTCTTAGGTGATGTGTCCTGTGGTTCCCGTTAGGAAACACATGACTGTCATGTGAAAGCAATCTGTAATCCCAGAGCAATTGTGGCACTCTGTACATTCCCCTGAAGTTASGCAGGGGCGCAAATGAAAGTAAAAGCAGTTCTCGGTTTCAGCTCTCTTTGTGTTCACGCCTTTCAGGAATAGAAAAGCTGCAGTGCACTTCCCTGACTTTCTAGCTAGTTCGTGAAGAATCAGATGTGTTACCAAAAGCGTTAGGAAACGGTGACCTAGCCCCTTTCACCTGAATTCCCGAGGGTCTGGCAGGAATGGGGGGGTTCGCTGTTAACCTTCCCGTACGTTCAGGATCAGCAGAGCCTCTAATCCTGTGGAAAAACAAAACAAAAGAAAACAAAACAAAACAA